ATCAATCTTATCCTAATGCTTCAGCTTTATTAAGCAACTCGAAATCAATTTGTGTTATTAATATTGATGCACATCTTGATGTTCGACCATTAAAAGAAAATAAATCTCATTCTGGTTCTCCTTTTAGATTATTACTTGAAGATCAAAGATTTCATCAAAATCATTCAAGTATGATTACTACTTTTTGTTTTTCATTTAATACGAAAATAAAATCCGTTGTTTTAGATAAATTTATTGAATTTGCAAGTCAAGGATCACAATGTTCCATAGAACATGTGAATTATATTCGTTCAAAATCTCCATTAACTCAAATATTTTGGTATCAATCAATTCGTGATGACCCATTAACACCTTTTCGTTCTATTATTAAATCAGCAGAAGAACAAAAAAATGATATATTTGTTTCATTTGATATAGATTCAATTATTTCGTCTTCATGTCCTGGTGTTAGTGCACCAGCAACAGTCGGTCTTACTGCTCAACAAGCTTGTGATATTGCTTTTTATGCTGGACAATCCTTACAAGTTAAATTAATGGATCTTAGTGAATATAATCCGAAAATTGAAGATTATCGCACAGGAAAACTTGTTACACTTATTTTTTATCATTTTATTCTCGGACGTGCAAAAGCTATAAAAGATTCAATGCAATAATTTATTTGTCTTTCATTTTTAATCAATATTTAATTAACTAACATATTTATGAATTTCTTTTAGATATAAAGGAAAAAATGCTTTCATCAACAATACGTCTTCTAATGCGTAGTGGATCATTAATGCGACCAATGATCACAACTCGTCCATTGTCAATAAAACCAACTCTTGTGGATTTACATGAAAAACGTAAATTATTAATTAATGAAATTCCACGTCGTTGGTCTCATGTTCATTATACATATCCAATGATTGAAAGTCGTATTATGCTTTTATTACGTTTATTTGATAAGATTGATCCAAATTCATTAAAATTAGATTCACGATTTGTTCAAGATCTTGGTCTCGATTCATTAGATATTGTTGAAATAACAGCTGCAGTAGAAGATGAATTTTGGACGGAAATTCCCGATGTTGATTCGGATCATTTTGCAACACCTAGACATATAATACAATATTTATGTGACAAATATGATGTTTATGAACATATTGAACCAATTTCAGCTGGAAAAGAATATTTAAAAGAAGCGAAAGAAGCTGCTGAAAGAGCTCATCATTAAATTAACATTATCGCTTTTCTTTTCTTTTTCTCCTGTAGTTTTGTTAATAAAACTCATCCTCTTTTAAATAACCAGATGTTTCATTGAAAAACAAAAAAGAAAAACAAATACTCAGAATTTCTTTAATCATGCAAATAAAATCTCTCTTGTTTCAACAATGTCTGTCTGCCATAATTTTCTATAATATTAATCAATGCTTTGCTTAGGTGAAAATGACTTTTCTCATGAGTAAAAACTTTCAGTGTGGAAAATTACATTTTTTTTTGAATAATTATTATGGTTAATTTTAAAACGAGACATCGAAAAATAATGTCCATTAGAATCGTTCTAAATCGAATGATAAACATCGCAGCTTTCTGGCCGAAACTGATCAAATCTCACTAAATATTGGTTATTGACGACTCCGAAAAATGACACATGTTAATGATCTTGAAAAGAAAATCTGCAATACAAACTTTGTTTCATATCTTACATAATTAAGTTTTTTGATATAAGAGATTTGTGAACAGTAGCCTTTCAAAAGTTTTGATTTCAGTCATCTTCTCCATTCGTTTATCTACTGAAACCAGTGCTTTCATTTCTAATCATATTTGCATCAGCTAATTGTAAACTGAACTTGTAGAACCTGATTTCTGGTAATAAAAAATTATGCAAAAATAATTAGTGTAAAAATTTTGCGTTAATTTTTTGTTTTCAGTATAGCATGACAACAACTCATCATCGAGGAAGGTTGAAAACTTTTAGGAATATGTTTGACTGGAAAAGTTCTCTGCACACTTCTGAAATTTTAGAAGAAAGTCTTAATCCAGTCAGAAAATTCGTTTTATTTTCCGCTTTTTATCGAATTTTATAGTGAGACGATAGGGCATTGCAAACAGATAAAAATAATATTTTCAAGCTATCAATTGAGTTCGAAATCGACGTTTTCTAACGGCCTTTGCTAGGAAAATATGTCCATAATCGATATGTGATTTCGAATAATAAGATTCTTTACAACAATTGAAGTTAGTAAAACCTCATATTTTCTATCCAAGTACAAGCCATTAGCCCAATCCAACTTAGAATGACACTATGAAAAGTATATTTCTGTTACTAAAAAGAATTTCGGCATGATAGAACTTTTCAATTACTGCAGTCTTCTATGAGAACATTGTGAAAAGTTTATTACCAGCGATCACAAGTTGAATTGCTTATTGAATTGACAGACCAAGGTCTGTTTGTTGGTACTTCAACTTTTTGAAGACTATCATTTATTAACATAAACTTTCACAAGTAAAATGTCCGCTGATCGATTTCAAAGAAACAGATTGGTCATTATTTTCACTTACACAGTTAACTCTGTTCCACTTCAGTAACACTCATGCTACTTTATACAAATGATAGTGTGTTCGGCCTTGTACATGTATAGATGAGAAATGTTCATTGAATCGAATAAACGCTCTGTTTTTATTTATTGAATAAATGAAACTTTCAAAATTTTCACATAATAAAGATTTCTGACTGCTAAGAGTTGCAAGATGCAAAAGTCATGTAAGAAATTTCGACGAAAAATGAGAAGACAATCGATTAAAATCAGATTTTCTTGTTCTCTTACGTAGGTAATATTCCTTGAAAAATGAAATATAGCTTTGGTAGAGTGGTTGTTAGGAATCATGAGAAAAACTTCATTGAGTGCTAATGTCTTATCGAGTACACTAATACATAACGTGCCTAAAAATTTCAAAAGCCAATAACAACACACTTTTCAGGCTTTTGATAAATATTTTGAATGAAATATTTCTATGCAACTTGATAGTAGAGTTAGTCTCTACGACGAGCTATTTGCACGTGATACTGAAAACACACAGAATATTTGTAATATTCGTTAGTGTCTTTAATGGAACCAAGTTTGCATATTGATTTAAAAGCACTTATATTTTTCTTTTTTAGAAGAAGCCTAATGGAATAGTTCAGCAATGAAAAAAGAACAATAGCAAGTTCTTCTGGTCTTTATGCATACGTATTGAAAGAGACAGCACAGCACGAATACAGTATTTAAAAAAAGAGGAAAGAGAAAAAAACAAGAAAAGTTTATGTGTACACAAGAGACGTCAATGAAATAAGAGGCAAAAAAAGAAATCGAACAATATGGCATATAGAAAACAAAAAGAACGAATTTCAAAACTTGTTTTCCAATTTTTTTTTTTCGTTTAGATTCAAGAGTAAAGATAAATTGAGAATAGCTCTGATGCCAAGTGTTTTTTTTTCACGTATATAAACATCAAGAGAACAGAAACACAAGATTTTCCATGGTTGTTTTTTTTTTCGTTTTTGGTTTTGTTTTTCCTATACGATGCGATAAAAAGAAAAAAAGAAAATGCGTGTGAGTGCGTAAACAATAATGACAAATAAACGAACAGATGTAACGCACATACACAAAAAAAAACTAAGAATAAGAAAAGTCTATGTTAAGTGCATATATCAACAAAATATGAGCGTTTTAGATAAATAAATTAATTTTATCAAGATGATGATTCATTGCTTGCTGATAATTCTAGAAGATACGAAAAAAAAAAAATATTTACAGAAAGAATAGAATTCGAAACAAACCTGATTTCGTTTGATGTTCAGGTGTAGACCAAATTCGAACAGTTGCATCATCAGATGCTGATGCAAAAACGAATGGTGATGTTGGATGCCATGAAACACAATTAACTGTACGTGAATGGCCTGAAAATACCATTATAGGACGTTCTTGTCGTCGATGCCATAAATAAACTTTAGAGTCTTAAAGAAAAAAAAAAAGAAGAGAAAAAACTTTTCTTTTATTGAAATTAAGACGTATGAACTGACCTTCACTACCACTTGCAATAAATTCTTCATTTGGTCCACCGAATGTTCCATGATTGACATAATGGCCTTGTGTTACACCTTGATATTTACGAACTAATTGTTTATCATGTAAATCCCATAGATGAACACCCTATTAAAGAAAAAAAGTTTACTTTTTAAGCTTGTCAATATCATATTGCAAGTTAAACAAGAGTGTTTGATCTTTCAGTTAACATAATAAAACTCTGTCAAGTCTAACTTTATAGTTTAGTTGCAGTTGATAGATTAACTATCGCTTTCAATAAACACACTTAGAAGATATGATGAAGTATAGAATGAAAGTTTTTTTAGACGTTTTTCCACATATTCGTGTCTACCCACTATTCAATTAGTTTTATCAAATTTTACATTTTGAATAAGAGTCAAAGTTATCTATGATGAATATTCATTCGATGATATAGGCTATAATGAATATTGGATGAAATATCTTTAAAGACCCGCTAAGCTCTCGGGCGGTTATCTGTTGCTTGAGCAATTCTGTCGCATAGAGTTTTATTTATCTGTATCTCAAATCATAACTCGTCAAACTCAGTAGCAATTATAAAGATAGAAAATATTAGATGCTATACTAAATTTCCAGATATCCTAATACTATCAATCTTTCTTCGTTTTCTTATTGAAATGATTTCTTTGTCAATCTCTTTCGCCATTTTCTACGTTATGATTTACTCTTGTTTTATTTTTCTATAAAGAGACTGATTTCTGTAACAAGTACTAAGTAAGAGCTTCATGAGGATCATAAAGATTTTCATTTTTACTTGTGTAGCAATATTAAGAAGTGCTAATCGACCATCTTTGCTAACAGTAAATGACATAATTGGATGATCTTCATGAATTCTAAAAATGTAATACAATCAAAAAAAAATCAACTCCATTTTAAATCTTAATATTTATACATTTGTTGATCAGTTAAACTATCAAATTTATATGAACTAATACGTTTTTGTGCATCAGCTGCTAAAATAACTCCATCACTGGTAACATGTAAACATTGTAAACGCACACCTTCCCAACTGTCAATAACATTACCATCAATATCCTAAATTCAACAAATATTGTTTTAGTTTTCTCATGTTTGTTTTTTTTCCACATACACAGTAATAGAATTGTCCACGTGATCCACCACATACAAATCTTTGTCCACATGGTAACCAAGCAGCACAAGTTAAACTATCTTCTGGTGTATGAGTCATACGTGATCGTTGTTCTTCTTGCTGAATAAAATAATAATCAAGGAGAATATTTAATTATTCATAGAAAAAAAAAAGAATTTTACTTCAACATCCCAAATCCATAATTCATTACATTCATCTGTTCCACATGCAATAACATATCGACTAAATGGACACCAAGCTATACAACCTATTCCAAATGAATGTCCTTCAAATTGTTTTCGTAATTTCATTTTATATGTTTCCTTAAAGAAAAAAATAAATAATATGTAAATAATAAAGAATTTCTCATCTTCTTACCATATCTACATCATATATATGTAAATAACCATCTTTTGAACCAGTAGCAAGTTTAGTTCCATCTGGAGAAAATTTACAAAACCATACTTCATCTGAA